ATCCTGCAACGCGTAATACATCGGCACGGAATACATTTGAAAATAAATATTTACTCCGCGATAGCGATTATTTCACGATACATTGTACCGTCCACCGCGAGAACTTATAAACAAACAAATACATGTATACGGCACGTGCAATATACGGTCCTTGGAAAATAATTTATTTGGCCGGTACAACGCGTATGAAACAATATGCGTTCGCTGCACAATAAAGTCTTGTGCGTTCACGTTGTACTTTTAAAACGAAATTTATTTTAGATCGTATATTTCGGCTAAACAAGTTGAAGATGAACAGATGTTTTTTTCTCCTTTTGATAAATAAATGTGGGATATCGACGATTGATCGCGGTCATTCGAGCGCAGAGAGCAGCAGATCATTACTCGAGAGGTGTTGCGCGGATAGAACCACTTGAGTGCCAAGTATACAAAAAAAAAAAAAGACCCCAAGATTTCGTCGCCGTTTACAGTGGAAACCTAATGGGATGTATAAGTTGCGCCGCGCGTTACAATATACATAACGCTACAAGACGACCACCATATAATGGTATTAATTAAAGACAATTATTTATATTAAGTACGCATAAATAATAATAATAACAGTGTAATTATATAATATACTGTTCGGTGTTGATAAATTGATGTTTTTATAGCTCAAGGACGACCAAAGATTTTTCACTATAACATACATAAGACAGTACACCATTTTTCCATTTATCAGTCGACGTGAGTATTAAAATACCGTCGCCATCGTCGTAATATTATTATACGCTACGTTTACCGCGATCGATAATACGTAATTAACGACCGCCGAACAGAAAATCGTCTGAACACGGACATGGGCAATGCATTCAGATTGTTCCGCGAGGATCTGGTTGTGTTGCGATATCGTCTCTTTCGTCGATACGAAAATATATTCTCTCGACTCTTCGGACACAGTTTAATACATTCACCCTGTACGCGGTTTTTGTTATTTGGCACCGTAGTCGAAATTCAGTTTTCGCACGCGCACTATACGCATTATAATGCAATAGCAGCTACAAGATTCAAGACGGCCCGTGGGGGTGGCGCAATACATCGTTTTTACGCCTCGTTGCTATTATTTCCGGAAGAGAGTTAAGTCGTAATATGCACGTAAAAGATAAATAAATAAATGTTATTAACCACGCGAACTTTCCTATATCACGTTCGGAAATCCTTTGAGATTGAGCTGCTTTTTTTTTTTTTCAAATAAAAGGAGAACAACAGGTTAAAAAACCATTTCGGTTGGCGTACGCAAACATGGATGCATGGAGTCGAACCGTACGACGACGTGAACAATTTTTCGGCGAGACGTCTTTTTGGACTGAACGTTTCCGAAAACCCGGGCAATCGCTCGGCGTACTCGTGTTGAACGCGCGCATATTATTGCATCGCGCACCGGTGGTTACGATTACGGTACCGTACGCGCGTTTCTCCACACCGCCGACTACTTATTTATAGACGTCACCGCCGCCACTTGTGCGCGTGTTTTCGCCGTTTGATGCGTCTCACTTCGAACGGCTCCGGGTTGTGGGTCCCTTTTTTCTTTTACCGCGATGCCGCGCACGTAAACGTACGCGCTTTAGTTGCGATCGCTTTTAATTACTTCATTATGTGGTTTTATTTTTTTATTTTATTTTTTCGGTCTCTGCCCGATGCACACACACGCACATACAAGACTCCATAATTACGTCTGCAATACGACCGTTCGTGTAAACGGCTGTTCTAAACCACCTGTTTTCACGAAACTTTAATTAACCGTCACGGAATGGTTCACATATTACGTACGAACATGCACGTGAACGTGCGTATTTTTCGAGCCGTGCCACCAGCAAGATGTACCCATTCTGTCACAAAGTATCAGGGCCGTGTTATGGGGGAGGGTCAAAGGGGGCAATCGCCCCCGGGCACCGTAGTTTTTTAAAAGTAAGGGGGCGCCCTTATCTGCACTTAATATGCTACCTGTGTCCAGTAGCCCCGTAGAAAAAATTTTGCACCGGAGCGCTGAAATGTTTGACACGGCTCTGCAAAGTATACGTATCGTAACACGTAAATCCCGTTGTCGTGATTTCCCAGTTAACGTTAGGTTAGGTTAACGAAACGAAAAATTTATTGATTGTACTGTCATGCGTGTTTTTTTTTATTTTCGCGAAAGATTTTCTCCGGTTACCGCGATCATAAGAGATATTTCCGATAAGAAATATTGTTTAGTTGTACTTCTAGGAGGGGTTGAGGTCATTATAAGAATTTCCCAATGGTTTTTTTAAGTAATTCCGAAAAATCGATGAAATATTACGCGAAAACGGTAAATTTTCAACATACCGGTTTCGACATAATCGAATTCTTTATGTTTACGTCGTAGACAAAAAAAAATATTAATCGTAGAGACTTGAAATTTTTACCGAATGTTTAAATTTAGGTTTTCTATAAATGACATAATTGTCAACAATTTTTAAAACTATTTATTGATACTTGAAATGTTTATGTTTACATAGTTTTTTCGTTACAAAGTTCCTCGTAAATATCTGATACCTCTTAATTGCCAATAAAAAATATGCTATTTATACATGTGTGTGTGTTACAAATGTACATAAATAATATTTTAGATTGAATTAAATTTTGTTTTATTTGACTAATAAATGTATTGGTATTGATTTTTACTATAAAATGTTATTTTTTTTTTTAATAAAAATATATATTTGATCAAATTATATTGAAATTTATCATTAATTATTTAAAATATCCAAACAAATTGAACGATTTACATTTATTTAAATTGGACATATTATATTATTTTCGTTGTGCTGGATTCTAAAACTTGGCTCAATGTATTCAATGTTTTGACTAACATGGTGCCGGAAATGCATTTTTACTCTAATACTTGGCACAGATCTTACATCTTACTTGATAAGATATGGAAGTGAACATGGATTTAATCATTCAGTTTTTGAAAAAATCTGACAGTTATAAAGTTTGCATGTTAAAATGTTGCGAATTTCTTGTCAGATATCTGAATAATAAGTATATTACATACCTACATCATTGTCAGATTAAAATGATATTAAATTTGTATATACGAGCGTTTACAAATTACATGTATATTCGAGTTATTGTTTACAAAATACAAGTATATACAAGTTATTTTACCAGAGTTTAATCAAATTTACTTTGGTTGACTATTAGTGGTATTACATTATTTCCCAGTTCTACGTACTCAATTTAATATTTGGAGAATCATTTTCACCTAACATTATTAATATATTATTGAAATTAAATTGATAAAACTATGTTAAAACGTTTAAACTATGCATGACAGGCCAGTGGACGTGATTCATAAATAGGTAATGTCTATTTAATAGAGTATAGGCTATTGCATCCAAAATTATAAGTAGCATGATTATGAAAAACGAATGGAATTATAGAGCTGATCGAACACGGATGAAGCCTGAAAGAAGTGATTGAACATCGGCTGAACCACCAATAATATTTTGGAGAAACTTTGTGTTAATGATATTTTTTCTGTCGTCTAAGGTTGGTACTCTCATAACTATGTATATACTCCTACAAGAAATACTAAAGATTATGAAAATGCATTTTTCGAAATATAAAAAAAAAAGCTTATCGATTATAAAATATCAAATAATATATTTTTAATGAATGTTTATAAACCCAAAATAATATGTATAATATATCAATATTATCAAGTATAAATTAACAATTTTTTTTTTTTTTTTTAGTTTAAAATATAATAAAATATAATATACCTGTACAGAGTGTGTCACGAAAATATACTCATTGCAATATTTCCTGAGATAATATAATCAAATTACCCTCGTTTCCAAATATATACGGGCGCTTCAAAAACAGAAACCAGTCGTATATCATAATGCAATTCATCTATTTCAATTGAATATCCACAATAGTATTTACACAGCTGAATACGTAGCTCTTCTTAAAGGAATCCAGACAGCCCTTGAAATAGATAACACTAAAATAGACATCTGTACCGACTCGCTCAGTATTCTATCCAATTTGAGAAATAGTATACAGACAGATTCCTTGGTCATAAAAATAAGTTATCTAATTCACCAATCCAATAAACATATACGTTTTATACGGACTCCAGAACACAGTAAAGCAAAGGGGAACAGGGAAGCAGATAAAACAGCCCGACATGCAATTAATAATCCCAATAACAATTCACTCACAATATGTCATCAGTAGTTGACATACATAAAAATGTTGATAAATACTGTATTCATTTATGGAATTCTTAATGGTACTAAGTAACCAAAAACAAACTAAAATAAATAAAACACTCAGTGGCACTCTGGCCAAATCCCAACAACTTAAACAGAAAAGAAGAAGTCTTACTTAACAAACTCGGAATTTGTCACACGAGATTATCCCATGGATCCCTGATGGGAAAAACTGAACCACCTGATATTGTATGATATGCCCCTCATACAACATAATAATTTCAATAAATCACATTATCATCCATTGTCTAATCTACACAGAGGACAGAAAAGAATACCAAATTCCAGAAAATTTTTATGAAGCGTTAGGACCTTATTCCGATCCAAAAAAAAATAAATATTGTATAATAAAAAAAATTGAAATGTATAAAGAAAAACTAATGTAAATACCATATATAATATAAAAATGTACACCCAATAGAAAAAATTAAATGTTAGCTAATAACTTCGTTGTTGATACTGAATAAAAAAAAAA